TCTGAAAACATTTGGGTTAAGTGTGTTTTTGTAGTATAACTGAAGTTAAAACATAATGTTGTGACTACGATCAGCTGTGTGACTGATTAACGGGACAAAAGAAAAGGACGACGCTCCTGTTTTCACGTGTTCACTGTGGTTCGACTGAGAGAAAGTGAATCAAACTCCAAACCTGTGTGATAATAAGCTTTCTAACAGGTGTAATGTACAGTTGTGGTCAGATGTGCACTCATCATGAGCACAAAGGGTTTTCCAGGGTGGAATGACTGCACACATGTTTGATGGCTGTGGGAAAAGCAGGAACAGGATGAACACACAGAAGACTGTGTTGTTCAGATCAGAGGAGTAAAGTCTTCCTTTTATTCCTCTTACATACAGTCCTGTTACAAAGTAGCACAACAATCTATTTCATTTTTTTGCATAATTTATCGACACATGTATTATTGAAGGTAGTTTCCTGCTCTACGTGCACGTAAGCCAGTTATATTTAGACGTACTATATTGAAAATAGCGTGCTATAATAGTGCTGTGACACGACATACGTGTGACTGGATGAGACATCATCACATGCTAGAGAAGCTTCCTCTGGGCTCTGTGAAGATGAGCTCTTTACTGTGACTGAGTGATGGCTTACTGGCACCCTTTGCTCCCCACAGCCCTGCACGAGTATGAGGATCTGCAGAGGAAGCAAGAAACTACAGCCATGGAGGTAAGTGTTACAATCTGATATGTACAGCCTGCAGACCTCGATCAGCTCCGTCTCTGCTCACAGCAGCAACAGTGTAACAGCTGAGAGCAGTTGGTACTCTAATAGAAGCTGGGGGGGCAGCGGGGCAGCAGGGTGACACTTCTGTCTTTGTTTATTTGAACAATAAAAACATTAACAAAATATTTTGGTTTCAAAGCGATTAAAAAGCATCGAGCTGATAATAACCTCGAGCAGGTCCAGTACTCAGTGTTGTGTTAAAGCTGCCACGATCACATTTTGTTATTGTCTAAAACGAAGCAGATATGAGGTCAGTCTGAGTGTAATGTTTGTCTTTAACTGTTTCAAACACTGAGGACAAACGATGGCAAAAAAATTATCTCCACAAGCTTAGTCCCTCTTATGATTGCTGCAATGTTTCTGTGACTGTCGCACACTGGAAACAATCACATGAGCTCCACAGCAATGGAGCTTTTCACAGGTGAGTCACCTGCCAAGCTTTTGTTTCCCTGCTCCATAACTAAAATGTTTTCACACTAAGATTATCCTTCAAAGTGTGATTCCTCACTCAGAACACGGATCAATTAAAATAGAATTAGGATCAATATTGACTTCAATCCTGCTGTGAAGCTAATGTTGGGTAACGTAGTTAGACCTTTTGTCACAATACGGCTGTGTGCAGGCAAGAGTGGGACCCAAACGCAAACTCGCAGAGACAAAAAGTAAACTCAAAGAACAGCTTTATGGAGGGAGTGGGGCACGAAAAACAACACAAAACTAAACTGGGAAAACTAAAGCACAAGAAGCCACAGGGAAAAATCACACAGCTATGAGGGAAGTGGGAACACCTGGAGAAACAGCTGACACACATGAACAAAACGACGTCACAAGGAGAGAGTAACACTAAAAACATTGAACATAGGAACACAGGACCCCTTCAAAATAAAACAGGAAATACAAGGAGACGCAGACATGAAACACAGGAAGGGCAAGGGAGACTTCACAGGGGTTGAAAACACGAGGAGGAACTAATAAGCAAATGAACATAGGAAACCTAATAAGCTTAACCTCTTAAGCCCCAACGCCCCCTGATACGGGGGCAAAAAGCAGGAGATCAGGTAGGCTGGGGCTTAAGAGGTTAAACATACACTATAAGACCAGGATCATGACACCTTTAGTGCTCATCTCCCCGTTTCAGCAAATAACATCGCGTCCAGTATAGGAACAATACTTGTTCATGAACATTGTAATCTACACACAGTGTTGGGGAGTAAC